TGTTTACATCGGTCACTGCTTTGTTTACATTGGTCACTGCTTTGTTTACACCTATCATTGCTTTGTTTACACCGGTCACTGCTTTGTTTCCATCGGTCATTGCTTTGTTTACATTGGTCACTGCTTTGTTTACATCAGTCATTGCTTTGTTTACATAACTAAATAAAGAAAATCTGAACTAAAATCAGTTTGATGACGTTTAACATGCGCATCTGATACTCCAGAGGTGAATCTGGATGAATCTGGACACAGTCGACACCTGTGTGCGCATGCTCAGTGGAATGAGGCAGCGCGTGCCTCTGCTGCTGACCGTCACTCAGCTTGGCTTTTCTACTCGACCAGCGTCAAGCCGTGCACGAGCCTGATGCGTGCGCAACATTCTGAACATCTGCAACTCACCCGTTAAGAGATGTGAGAACAGGTAAGTTGCATCACGTGACCCACTCAGGCTCCGCTGCTTATATTTCCTGTAAAAAGTTAAAATTTTATTTAAAATAGTTTAAAATCTAATAAATTAAAAAATAAAAAAAAACACTGGTCAATGTGCTGATAGACCAGAAGGTCTGTTCCTGACGTCAGACACAGTAGTGACGATGTGATGCACGCGCCACACCTGCACCAGCACGTGCACGCTTGTTGGACATCGCCTTTTGAAGTGAAAGTGAAGTGCGAAACTGGCCCGAAGGCACGAGCTGCTGTAGCGCCACGTGGCCGGCGTGTGTGCGTGTGTGTGTGTGTGTGTGTGTGGGGGGGGGGGGGTTTCAGGTGTGCGGATTGACACATGAACAGACAACAATGCGTGCGTGACACAAACGAGCTGCGCGCTGAAGTCCTGGGCTGGAGTTAGCCACGCCCCCTTTAACCTAAAACCTCAGAAGACGGGCTGTGATTGGCTGCAGGTGTTTGAAGGGATCTTTGCGTAATTTTACCATCAAATAATAAAAATCAGCTTAATTCACGACACAAAAACACAAACTGGCTTCAAAAACAAGAATTCTAGACAAATTTGATCGTTTTTATTCAGCAACAAAAAGTCCAGCAGGTCCTCAGACACCACTTCTGTCCACGAGAACCGGCCCAGACAGACAGACTCTGGTCCATCCTCAGAGTTCTGAAGGTCTTCTCTGTCTGACTGAGGCCAGAGGTCAAATGATTCCTCTGACAAGGTTTGAAACTGAAAGAGCATCAGAAAGTCTGGAGAACTGTTGATTTGGACCACTTCAACAGATTCCAAGTAAGTCTGGAACCTTGGAAAGAGAAATAAAGACTGGACCAGGAGATCTGGACCAGCAGTCCTTTGTTCAGCCTGTCATTGAGGGGAAATCTTGGTGTTTTTTCCCGTCTTGACACAGCTGCAGAATTCGTGTTGATGTTCCCGTAAAATTATGCTAACGATGCTTCACACTGATGAGTGTGAATGAGAGCGTGGGGGCGGGGCTTACACCTACCTGTTAACCATCTGTCAGGTGACAAAAGTCAGCATGAGACCATGAGACCCACAAGCCAACAGAAGAACCTGCTTCAGCATCACTTTCTGTGGCTCACTGGTCTGCTGCATGTGTGTCCATATTTTCTAGCCTCCCAGATTTTTCATTTTGACTTTGCGTTTTCAGAAATTGTTAAATTCTGCTGCCGTCTGTTTGTTGACAGTAAAGATCTTGATCTCCTGTAAAACCTTCCTGATAAGTGGAAAGTTCTCCCGAGCTGCAGCTCTTCAGCTTTGTGCTCGTTAGCCTCCTTCAGCTCGGCTGCAAACACAACAAACACTTTCTGCCTGAGGAGGGGCGCTCGTCTTTGTTTGGCTTCCAACCTGCAGTTCATGAGCCTTGTAAAGGTTTTACGACCACCCATGTGTTTTCAGTCTGCGTTTGGCAGAACTTAAGTAACAATTTTATTACGTGAAACTTTTTCCCTTCGAAATATTCTGGATTTATTTTTTCGTTTCCACACAGGACTCTGAATGACGCCCGTCTTGAACTGAAATAATTGAACAAGTCCGTTAAAGAGAAACCGTTTGTCTTTACGTTTGCTTTGCTTCATAAAAAAGTTTAACTCCGTCTCACAAAATCTTTACAGAGGCTCTTAAATTTTAAAGAGGAGCTCCACCTTGTGAGCTACTATAAAAATCACAAGAACGCAAAGGGAAAAATAAAACGTTACTGAGCAGATCCAGCAAAGTTAAGTCAGGTCCTCTGGACGGTTTCTTTTGTTTGTTGAAATGCTTCGTCCTTCATCCAAAGGACTTCGTCAGTCCAAGGAGCCACAACAAACTCAGTCCCACAAGCAGCACGCTCAAAGTGGACCAACCAGTTTGATGGTGAAAAGATGGTTTCTGGAGTCCACCCTCTCCCCCGTCGACTCCTCTGAGGCAGCCATGGCCAGAGTGTTTCAAAGCATCAAAGAAACCAGAAACCATGCATTGACCTTGGACTAGAGCTGTCATTTCTAACCCGAAACGTGGGCCGGACCGACCTGGATTAGGGCCAGGCTGGACCGTTATAATGTGATTAATGGGCGGGCCGATTTTGGGGTTTTAATTAGGTCAGTATCAGACCTGATCTAATTATATGATAACATGGCCTGCCATACATCCACCAGCCACACACAGCAATTTCACCGCGAGCTGACCGGCCTTGAAAGTGTTAAAAAGTTCAGTTAAGCTTCAGATGGGACTGAACTGCCAGGCAACGATCCATCGCCCAAATGGACGTTCATTCTGCCGCTGCACTCAGCGGACGCGCGCGGCCGATGATCCAAACAGGTGAGATCCCAAAGCAGACGTGTGGCTCAGTAATTCAGACGAACGCCGGCAGAAACGGGGTTTAAATGCTTTTTTACAGCCATGAAGTACAAACACCTCTCAGCTCTGAATCTTCTGCCACTTTTATTCAGCTGCGTGTCCTCGACCGTTAATAACTAATTAAAAATGTTTTTTCTTTCCGGGTTCGGACCTGTAATTATTGTTAATTTGTCGGGTGCAGTTCGGAAATTATGACTGCGGGCTGGGGCCGGGTCAGATCAGATTTTATGGACCGGACTACAACTCTACCTTGGACCTCAGAAAACACAGTGGACCAACACCCGCAAATGACATTCCTCCCCCCCCCCCCCCAAAAAAAAAACCATCACCAACTGTGGAAACTTGGCACTGGACTTCAAGCAAACGGACGCTTGGAGGGGACGGAGCTTTTTCTATTGTTGCTCCAAATGTTCTGAACGATCTCCTTCTTCCCAGCAGACCAGCCCCTTCAGTCCGTTTTTAAAACTCTTTTACAAACATTTTTATTCTCTGGCTTTTGGCACAGCCTGAGAGCTGCTTCACTTTATCTTTTACTGTTTTTATTGATGTAAATGTTTTTATGTGTTGAAATGATCTTGATGCGTACAGCACTTTGTTGCAGCTGTGGTTCAAAGTGTTTCATGAATAAACCAGTAAGTTTGTTTTCCTGAACTTCAGGGCAGTTTTTTTCGTGAGTTTAAATCTGAACGTCCTCAGAAACGATCACAACAACGTCACTCTAATGTAAACTGTAAAGTTTCTTATGTTTTCGCCACATGTAGATGTAAACACAGCCGTGATGCACAGACAGACGAGGAGCTTGAAATGTGAGAACTGTTTGAGGGGAACGGTCCTTCTCTTGATTATCCTGTTCGAGTCGTGTACTGGTACCAGTCCTCACCACGCCGAGGTTCAGGGAGCTGCTGACAGGCCCAGGATTTCACAGTCGTCCCTGAACTGTGGGACGATGTACTCCTGTTGTCAAAGGTTGAACTGCTCAGGGGTCGAACATCCAGCAGTTAAAGTCTTTATGTAAATAAACCAAGTATTAAATGATTTGTTCCCTTTTTGTTTATTTTGCTACGAGTCATAAATGCAATAAACAGACCCCGAAAGTGTAATTCAAAGAAATTATATCTCAAGATTTACTTCCTTATAATAAAAACTAGTGATATTATAATGTGAAACATTAAAAACAAAAATGACACACTATTCCTCCTATTGATAAAATATTAGTCTGCCATCTCGGACTTGTCAAATCTTTACGCTTTTCAAAAAAAAAAAAAAAAAAAAAAATAGGTTGACCATTTTTGATGTTCCCTGAACGACGGACAGGTTTCTTCTGTTCCAGGTGTGTCCATTAAGAACCTGTTCTCGTTTAAATGGCTGCTCCGTTCATAAATCACAGGCGAAGCGTCCACGTCCCCCTCAGGTAAGCTTTGAGCGGAACCAAAAGAGGCGGAGCACAACTCAGCTGGGTTGAAAGTGAGCGCAACGTGTCCCTCTCCTTCATGTCGTTTATTAAAATGAATTATCTGTGGTTAATAGTTTTTAAAACTAACTGCAAAGCGTTATCAACATTCCCCCAGTAATTTAAATCTGTTTAATCCGGCTCATGGGCGATCACACACTGATACGATCAAATTATTAGAACTCCCCTCGCAGCAGGAGAAAGAGCACGCAGCCTTTCGACTCGTGTTTCTGCTAATTAAATTCTAATTAAACACCAAAACACAGATGTTTGTAGGCCACAGATTAAAGCAGATGTATTTAACTTTATTGTCCTCAAAACTCAGAGTCTGAGGCTGTGTGAGCTGCAAAGCATGCTGGGTAGCCTTGTGGAAATCATATGTGCAACGTTTCAGACTGTTGAAATGGGTTCTTGTCAACGTCCTGTTCAGGTTTGCTTTAGTATTTATGTTGAAGTCAGAGGTTCCCGGCACTACGAAGGGGAAACTGCAAGTATTCTTGTTGAACAATGTCCGGTGTGAGGCGTCGTGTAAATCGATGCGTTCAGTGGGAAGAGGATTCTTCGTAGTTACTTCTGTATGCTCGTGAAAATATTGAAATGAAAAATTAGCGCACAACTAGATTGGCAAATATTTAAGTCAGACAGCCAAACTTTTAAAGGTCTCCCTCACACATTAATGAACTCATGGGCAGGCGGGACCAGAAGTGGCTGATGGGCCGCCAGTTGAACAGCCTGCTGTACTTTTAAATCCCGCCTGAAAATGTCACACATCTTTTATCTCAAGTTCAGTTTGAGTTCCATCAGAAGTTGTGATTATTTTGTTGTTCGCGTTTGTTTGACTAAACTTGTGGATTTTTAATGTCTTATCTTTTTAACGTATTTTGTCAGTTTTTTCCATTTGTTCTTAACCTCCTTGGTCAACTACCGGTAGTTTTTAAAAGGTCAACACCTCAGCGGTGTGGATTTTATTTATTTATTTTTTGCATTAGGTCATCTTTCCAAAAAACGCATTCATATTAAAGAAATCTGAAATCAGCCACTTTAAAGTTGTTTACGTAAATAGGAAAACTGGCTCCTGCTGAGATAAATTATTTCGAAACTCAAACCCAACACAGAACCTGCAGGGTGGAGACACCAAGCACATTCAGTTTATTGACAACGAGAGCCAGATACTTTAAAAACCATTAAAACAGGGTTTGGTTTCTTATCAGAAAATAGTAATCTTGTTGTTTTGCAGCCACGTCCTTCACCATTGAATATAAACCTGTAAATAACGTTAGAGGCCGTTAGATCAAATCCTGGATCACGATGCACCTTTTTCTTCCAGTTTTTCAAAATGAAACATTTTCTGGGTGTTTTAATGGTTTGTAGGAACCACAGACAGAAAAACACATCAGAGGACAAACATCTAAAACACTGACATCATCACCTGTCACCAGACAAACTAACGACTGAAACGAAGCTCCGGTTGAGTTTTGAACTTCGGCTCTATCCAGATGTTTTGCCCTGCAGCTGTTTGAGACTTCAGTCGACTCGTCTGAACTCTGATTGGTCCGTTTCAGGCAGAAGTCATGGGAGCTCCGCCTCCGTCAGTCCGACACACACGAAGAGGAAATTAAATAAAATCAGAGTCTGAAGGTGAACGCTGCTGAGCTCAGATCAGATCTCAGATTTGATTCTGAGTGAGAGGAGGGTCATGTCCTGGGGGGAGGGCATCAGACCTGGAGGGGTGACAGCAGTGCTGGTCCTGGATCAGCCTCCAAACTCAGACAAACCAAACTTTTTACAAACCAATCAGCAGCTTCAAAATGGATCAGGTGACCTTAAGATGAGAGAGGGAGGGGTCTAATGACACCCCACCCCAACTAATCTGTCTCTGATTGGTGCAGAGCTGACCATCGTCCCTCTGACACACAGCTGCGGCGCTGTGGCATGCAGGCCCCGCCCCTCATCACTATACAGGGCCGTGGTGGGCATGTGGGTCTGCGGGGGCCTCACTGCTGTTTGGAGTGCCAGAACCGTGACGTGATGGAGCCGAGGGGCAGCCCTCCTTTCTTCTGCAGGGAGAGTTCTGCCAAACGATGTTCCTCTTCCTAATGGGAGAGATGGGGGGGTCAAAACAAAGTCAAGGAGGTCCAGGACCAGAGCACACGGGATGGTTTCATTTCTGCTCCTACCTGGGCCAGCTGAGCCTGCCGGTGTTTGAAGGCCTCGATAGGGTCGTCCTCCAGAGCGTAGTTCTCCAGAACTGCTCGGACGTCCTCCACGCCGCTCAGAGCGATGGCTGACAGACAGAGACGGAGAGTTTCACGACTGAACGACTGAAAGGTGCTTCAGATTCAGAGTGGACGGGCGCCCCAACGCCTCGAGCCGAGCCTTACTCTTGAGGAAGTTGGTGAGGTCGTAAAGCGTGCGGTCGTCTGAATTTCCGTCCCATTTCTTCAGCGCCATGCCGTTAAAGGGCTGCAGCTGGAAGGCCTCCCGCTTACAGTCCACCAGGATCACCTTACTGGTGTCCCGGTTCAGACAAGAGACGTCCTGAAAAACAGACAGGAGTCCATCTGGAGACGAGAAGCAGCAGAACAAGGCTGGTCCGTGATGAGCCACTTACCTTCACGTGATGTCCCTCCATGTAATGAGTGGCATCTCTGAAGAGACGATACATGATGAAGCCCTGTGGGTCGATGCTGTCGATCAGAGGATACGCCGTCTGCACAAAAACACGAGAAGAGCACAAACCAGATTAACAACGAACAACAGGTCAAACAATTTCAAAGGAAAAGAACAAACAAACTCCTGGTTTCTGCTTCTTAAATGCTGATAAATCAGAACAAACGTGTTTTAATTACACAAAGTGCTTTAAGACGGATTCACAGGAAAGTCATACATTTCACAATAAAAGTACTGAAATATATTTGATTACTTTTTTTGTAAACCCAGTTTTGAGCCGTCACCTCTAACCAAGTTCAAATCGTTTCTGTGAGAACATCAAAGTTCATTCTCTATAAACCAGGTTAAAAAATCCAACAAAGTTCAGTCAGGTCCTCTGGATGGTTTCTTTTTGTTGAAACGTTTCATCTTTCATCCAAAGGACTTCATCAGTCTGCGGAGCCACAACAAACTCAGTTCCACAAGTAGCATAGTGGGTCAACAAGTTTGATGGTGACAAGATGGTTTCTGATGAAGTCCTTTGGATGAAAGACAAAACATTTCAACACAAAGAATCCATCCAGAGGACCTGATTGAAAATTGTTGGATTTTCTACCTGGATTACGGAGCATGAACTTTGCTGTTTTGAACCACTTTGGCTATGGCTGCCTCCGAGGAGTTGACGAGGGAGAGGGCGAGCTCTAGAAACCATCTTATTAGCAGCAAACTGGTTGGTCCACAATGTGAGTGTGCTACTAATGGGACTGAGTTTGTTGTGGCTCCTCGGACTGATGAAGTCCTTTGGATGAAGGACGAAACCTCAACAAAAATAAACCGTCCAGAGGACCTGATTTAACTTTGTTGGGCTTCTGTGAGATATTTTCTTCCAGTGTGTTTCCAACTAAACTGTAGTAGATCAGCCCAGGGTGGGGGGGGGTTGTTGCTGTAAAAAAGCCGAACAAGCTAACATTATTCACATTATTTAAGTTTAGAGGTCCGTCTTTATGAAGTCCGTCATGTTAATAAATCAGAAGATAAACTTAATGATGTCCAAATGTTTGTGTCATCAGTTGACTTACTTGGGCTGGAGCCCAGGGGTCTACAGCATGGGGGGGGGTGGTGTTATCGTTCTGAGATCATGTGATGAGCTGAAAATCGTTTTGGTTTTCCGTCGATCACTTTCGATGCATGTTCGTGGCCGCTGATTGATCCAAATTAAAAAAGACACCACGTGAGCTCACTGGTCCAGGAGCTGACCAATCAGAATGTGTTTTGATAGTTTGGGGGGCGTGTTTTTCGCTGATTGACAGACAGCTGTCACCACGTTTGTGGAAGAAGTTTGATTAAAACAAAAAAAGAATATTTGTCAAAACACTTTTGGAAAATAATTAATGGAGTACCGAAGCGGCAGAGTTTTCTTAAACGGCTGTCAGAGAAGACGAACCGCAGGAGGATGCCCAGTGACGACTCCTCCACCGGAGGAGGCGGCTACGCAGACAGGAGCAGAGGAGGAGCAGAGGAGGAGCAGAGAGGTCTTATGACTCTTAACAGTGACCCGGCCTCTGAGCAACAACATCGACCAAGAACTGCGAGCATCTTGGGTGAAAACTGGACAGTCGAGCCAAAATTTGATGCGCCACCGTGAGCACGTGCACACCCGATATTAGTGTCCGTCTTGGTTTGATTTATTGTCAAATATGAAATATAAACTACATACAAACTAGTTTTGCTTGTCTAGTATTGTGGGGTTTTAATGTTTAATGTGTGCAAAAAGAAAGTTCCTGATTTTTATTTTCAGACAGCCTTCACACCGTGCACGTCCGTTCTCAGTGATAAAACTAGAGCTCAGCACCGAAACGGTGACTTTTGCTGAACTTTATTATAAACACTGATATTTGAGAGACGAGGGCCAACGGGGCCATTGAGCCCCGGGGCCTCCCAGCAGGTCAAGGTGGACCCTGGTCGTCAGAACCGCAGCGACGGTCGGACCAATCGGCACCAACGGTTCTGTGCGTGTTCTGCTTCTCACAATGCCGGTCTCATCGGTGAAGATGACGATCTCGTAGAGCGGCGCCAGCTGCTGGAACAGGTAATCGATGCCAGGACGTTTCTTGAAGCGCCAGCCTGTGGACATCTGGACGCACAGACTGTGATTAAAACCGGAGGAGTTCAACAGCTGAATGTGGTCAAACCGTAAAAACCAGACTCACCGACCACTCTGGGTGCAGCAGGACGTCCATCAGCTCCAGAACCAGGGTGTACGGAGGCTGGTAGTATGGCTCCTTCAGAGGGTCCGGCAGCAGCTTCGGGCTTGTTGGCTCATTAATCATCTGACATGAAAAAATAAAGCTCACGTCATATCACTTTGACTTGAGAACACCTTCAAACAGAACGAGACGTTGGACGGTCTATAAAACAGGTTAGAGCCGCTCTTCATCCGCTTTATAAAAAGGACGTCCGACTCACCTGCTTGTAGTCCTTAAAGTATTTGTAGGTTCTTTTAAAGTGCCGGACGACAGGAAACTCTGGAACAGAAGAACACGGTGAGGACAGATGACCCGTCTCGTTCAGACCAGAAGGTAAAAGAACAGAAACTAAGCTCTTGGCTCCAACTAAAAGTTGGACTGAGCAGAATAAGAAAAGATGAAAGAGACGAGATGAAATAAAAAGGAGGCATAAGATGAAGAGAGGACGCCTTTAATAAAAGGAGAGCATATGTTGCGTCTCCTCCTCCATCAATCATTTGTTTTCTCTCCCAAAAACAAAGACATGTAAATGAATGGGGGGGGGGGGGGGCTCCTCTGCATCACAAACACAACTACTGAGTCTGGGGGCCAAACACGTCTCTGAGGACTCCTTTACTGCTCCTTCCTTCTGTTCACGCACCTCCTGCTTCTTTATGAAATGAAAGGAGGAGCGGAGCAGAACTCAGCCGGGCTAATGTGAAGCGCAACACGTCAAAACGTGGTAAAGACGTCTGCATCGTCTCCTCCTTTAAAAATTAACTCGGTTTAGACTTTCCTCTGTCTTCAGCAGATGAAGATCATAACCGGGGGGGGGGGGAGGATGGTGGCCTTGGCCACCATAAAATAATCTTCTTCCACCTCATTTGAGGAAACTAGACTGTTAAGCAATAAAAAACGAGAAAGCTCAGTTTCCTCAAATGATCTGAGTGGTGGGTTCACAGACGACTGTGCCCGTCTTCTTACGCAGAGACGTAGCCACAAAACCAAAATGGAAGTCAGTCCCTCGCTTATTTTTCCAGATACGACCACAAAATGCACAAACGGACGGGATTTCCAATTCCCGCTCTTCCTCTGCGACGGAGGACAAAAAGACCTGACAGGACAGGAGAGACATCATCCGTCCTCTGAAACTGGTTCTTTGATACGTCGTCTGTTGACACAGCTCTGGTTGATCCTGCGACGTCAGGAGACGTTTTCTGCCCGAATGAGGTCAAAGTTCAAATCACCCCCTGAAACTGTTCAGGAGCAAGAACTGAAAGTGAGAAGAAAACTGGAAGAGGTTCAGAAAGTCTGGAGGACCACTTCACCAGATTCAAACTAAGCCTGGAATGAGCTGGATCCACCATCTGCAAGTTGGACTATTATTGAAGTTTCATTATAGTTGTCAGTTTTCTCACAGCAGCGCATGAGACCAACAAAAACATGAAACTGCTTTAGACTGATCATTGTTCATGCTCAGTAATCCAGGTAGAAGAAGTGCACCACCGGTGCTTTACACTTAATTATTTTATCCACTGACAGGAACGTTAAACTGGTGCCATGAGCCGTCCAATCAGAAAGACGACCACCAGTGAGCCTCACACCAGGTCCATCTGCTCTGACCGTTGGATGCCGACAGTCTCTTGAAGCAGCCTTTGCCCAAATCTCAGAGTTTCTGATGTTAATGAGTCTGTTCTGTGTGCAAGACAACAAACAGGACATTGTCTTCAGGAGGAAAGAGACAGATGGACAGACAGGAGAGGAACTAAAGTCACAAACGCAGCAGGAGGGATGGAGACGTGAGGCTCTGGAGGAGGAGGGACCTGAGGGACAGATGGGTAGAAGGAGACGAGGAGGAGACAGACTGTACCTCAGGGAGAAAAGAAGTGATGAACAGCAGCAGGAACCGATCAAAACGTTTTTATTTTATCCGAGGCCGTTTGTATTTCAAATGCTGAACTTATTAATGTTGAGCTTATTAATGCTGAACTTATTAATGCTGAACTTATTAATGCTGAACTTATTAATGTTGAGCTTATTAATGCTGAACTTGTTAATGCCGAGCTTGTTAATGCTGAACTTGTTAATGTTGAACTTGTTAATGCTGAACTTGTTAATGCTGAACTTGTTAATGTTGAACTTGTTAATGCTGAACTTGTTAATGCTGAACTTGTTAATGCTGAACTTGTTAATGCTGAACTTGTTAATGTTGAACTTGTTAATGTTGAACTTGTTAATGCTGAACTTGTTAATGCTGAACTTGTTAATGCTGAACTTGTTAATGTTGAACTTGTTAATGTTGAACTTGTTAATGCTGAACTTGTTAATGCTGAACTTGTTAATGCTGAACTTGTT